CTCCTTTGGGTCTCGATTCCCGCATAGCGCGACCAGACCCCAGATCAAGCGACTGGCCCGCATGACGCAAGACGAGCTTCGAGGCTCGCCAGAAGCACCGAAGAGCGCTTCAAGCAACACTCTAATCGAGTTCCCCGAGGAACCTATCGATAGCGGACTTAGATCCATGCTAGAGCTTCTAGACACCCTCGAGGAGGTCAAGACTTCGCCCTTCATACCGCTCAAGTGGTGGCTCATAAAGAGAACATCCACTTTCCAGAATCGCAAGCGGATGAAGAATGAGTGCATTCTTGCTGAAGTCAAGAAGGCTGTCGAATCCCGCACACAATATACCAAATCTAGACACGAAGAGCAATTACCTTCATTGATGTGTTGCGCAGCAGAAGCCATCGTCGATAGAGAAGCACGTAATGCCCAGAAGGAGAACAGATCACCTCAATTCCTCTCAGCTATGGTCGTGGAAGAGATATGGGGTCTGATAGTGGCAGGCTCCGATACCTTGAGCACAACATTTGCCTGGGGTGTCAAGCTCCTGGCCGACCACCCCGAGGTCCAAGACCGACTGAGGAAAGTATTGTATGCTACCCATGTTAGAGCAGTGGAGGAGAAGCGCTTGCCATCCGCCGAGGAGATCCATCATGCCCCTGCGGGCTATTTAGATGCTACCATCGAAGAAATGCTCAGATGCGGAGGTCCCATCCCAATAGGCGATCGCGAAGCCCTTATCGATACAACGCTCCTCGGCTACCATATTCCCAAGGGCACCAACGTACGTTTCCTGCACAACGGGCCAGGGATACGATTGCCAGAACTGGAAGCCAACAAAGACAAATATAGCCAAGGGTCTGAAGGCTGGAAGGTAACGGATCAGACGATCCCTGGATGGGATGACGAGGATGTCGATTTGTTCAAACCCGAGCGCTGGTTCTCCGCACCGGCCGACCAGCCCAAGCAGCCCTCGAGTGACGCCGTGGATGCGGAAGCAGCTAGATCCTCCTTCAATCCACAGGCTGGACCGAGTATCCCATTTGGTCTCGGCCTTCGAGGGTGTTTTGGGCGGCGACTGGCGTATATTGAACTGAAAATACTTCTGACGATGTTGATTTGGAACTTCGAGCTCCTGAAATGTCCAGGAGAATTATCTGGGTATTCGGGGCGGCTCTCGTTCGTCAATAAACCCAGGAGCTGCTACGTACGGTTGAAGGCCCTTGACTGTCCTGCTCGTATATAATTAGTCAAGGGTTAGCTGGCTAAATTCAACTGCTCTGTAGCTTCATGTGAGCTTAGCACATAAGATGTAGCGTCGCAGCAGTAGGAGATTTTTATCATACTTGAAGTACATCGAGGAATCTAATAGGATCGATATATTCTATTAAGCATATTAAAATTAATGGCCAGAATCTAAACCTTTTGTCGGATACACGCCTGAATGCTACACATGCAAAGTTGTCAGACAGTAGCGCCCTACCAAGTGTTACACACCACTAGTGTAACAGTGATCTGTTTGATACACATTTCTATACTCTACCACACTTCACCAACACTCATGATGTTTCAGATAGAAGTAAGATGGTCCAAGATAACTCCTTATAAGTAAGGGCATCTTGCCAGTCATTAAGTAGTGGTGTCAGAAATAAGCGAGTCTTTTTGAACGACGTAAATTAGTTATTCAATCGATCAGTGAGTGTTCTATCTGTCTAGTGTGTGCCCATCTACATTCTCTGTGCGCACCAAAATTTGGTGGCTGGGTGGAAACTCTTATGACCCTCGGTTTAGCCAGTAGGATAGTACGGAACGTGTCAACAGTGACTCCGGAGATCACAAGTTTTAAGGATCATCTAGAGAACCTTTCCTTGATAGTATTACTTAAGAAGATCATCTAAAAATATGGCACTAAGCGCCCTATTGATCAAAGCATAGATGACCACTACACTTTGCTGGTATATCCGCACTGTTGCAATAGCAATTGAGTAGATACAGGTCCCACTTCAAAAGGTTCGGAGGTCCAGTTAACGTTTGTATGTTAGTTCAATAGTTTATTTTGATATATTACATCCGAAAATTATCTAGGATTATTCTCACTTACATTTTAGTTACTACAGAAGCGCAGTGTAATAGTACCACAAAAGGAGATATACTAATACCATATACATCCCTTGGATTTGCTGGGAAACAGACGAGAACACACTCAAAATAAACGGATTCACTTGATCAGAAACTCATGATTGAATAGAAATGTCATTCTATTACATGTAAAAAGAGTGTTTTCCCTCTAATTAATAGAACAATTTCTTTTACGTAGCCCTTGTCATGAGTTAATCTATCTAGAAATCCCCTAAGCGATGGTGATATGACTAGCCTGTAAGCGCACTTGAATATTGAACAAACACGCACGAGAAACCAGTTTCTTGTATTATTTGTGCCTCGAATGGTTATCAAACTGCTTTACTTTTTAAGATTAGTCATATCTATTCCCTATTGATTTGGGTAGTTACTTTTTTTCGAATAGAGGGGTTGTATGTTTCAGTAGAAAGAGAGATAGTTATATATTATGAGCGATACATGTTTCTGGCCAAACCTGACCTCAAAATGCGACTTTAATCCCTAACACTGAAGATCGTACGCAGTTCCATCACGCCCAAGTGAGTTTCCACTTTACCGCTCACTTTGCAACTCACTGTTTTCACCTGCGCTGATTTGTTTTTAGCTATTTAGGAGTAAGCACTACGAGCATCATCGAGATATCTCCCTTGAATACCACACATCAGGCTTCGGTATTATATAGTTTAGTATGGGAGCCTTGAAAAACCTGACATTGAACGAAACTGAGGAAGAACCCTGCAGCATTGTCAACACTACCACAGCTATTATCTCCGTAGTAGACAAGTTTTCTGGGCTTCCTGCTACACCACCCTCGCTTTATATCGACCTCGAAGGCGTCAATCTATCTCGTTACGGAACTATCTCGATCCTAAAAATTCATATTCGCCCTACGAACCATAACTACCTCATCAATGTAAAGACACTCGGGGAGGCGGCATTCTTGACGGAGGGACCGCGTACACTCAAGGCATAGAAAGCTATCTTGGAGTCACCCTCCGTCCCGAAAGTTTTCTTCAATATAGGCAACGACTCTGAAGCGCTGTATAGCCTTTACGGGATCAAACTATAAGGAATCCAGGATCTCCAGCTAATGGAGCTTACAACCCGTACGCGTCGCAGAAACTTCATCAGCGGTCTTAAGAAATGTATTGAGATAAATATGTCTATGATAAGCATTGAGAGACTCAATTGGATGATGACGAAGGAAAAAGGGCTCAAGCTTTTTGCTCCAGAGAAAGGTGGGAGTTACAAAGTATTCAACCCACGGCCGCTCCCAGAGAAGATCAGGATTTACTATGTCCGGGATATCCATTATCTGCCTCGTCTTTGGGATTTTTACAATCGCAAGCTGACTGCTATATGGAAGACTCAAGTGCAGGATGCGACAGAGGACCGATAGGTGCAGTCCCAGGCTGAGGGTTTCAATGGGCAAAGGCGACATATGGCACTGCCTCCAGAAGGATTGGGACGGCGTTAAAAGTCCAACAGATTTCTAAGTACGTGAGGAAATTGGATAATCTTATGTATCCTCTCTCATTTGTCTCGTTGATTCGTCCCGCTTCTCGTTTCCAAATCAACGATATGTTCATCACGCAACCGTTTCTTGTTGGCGTGCCATTGGCTCAGACTAGGCGTGTTAGAATTTTAATCACCGTAAAGCATTGGACAAATGATTCCAGCGACGGATGTGAAATGTCTAATTATTTGGTTCTGAACAGCCTTTGCAGAGAGAAATCTGCTGTTACTCCTAAATACTTTGCCAGAAGTTGATAGGTGGATATGTAGATTATAGAGGCTGTCAATCATCATCTATACCTTTTCTTCCACCTTAATGCCTACCCACGTTAGTAGGCAAAGATATACAGCCTGTCGGGTCATAGACATGTGATATAGTCGCAATGGGTGGGTACCTTACTTTAGGAAAAAAGTCTCTCTATGTTGGCTCGTGGCCCAGAGCACGGCGACTACTCCTGTAAGTAAACGTAACCCTTTAGAACCCCCGGGATCGATTCCACCACGGCATTCCGTTGCATGCGGCAGGGGATAGAAGCCCTGAAGGGCGACCGAAGCCGGGATACCAATTTTTTCAAGAGAAAATATATTTCAACATACTTACAAAGACCCTTAGAGTGACTGGCATCTGACGCAAGCCGACTTAGACACGGAAGCATTCGGATTCCTGTATGTTGGAACAAAGTCCACTGCAGGACTCATACTAATCGTATTGCAATATCATTGTTTTTCATCACCTTTCACACGCACGAGATATTCTTAATAGGTCCATAGAAGAGGTCGACTTACACTAACCCGCTGTCATGGAGCTTGGTCATAGGGTGTGTGGGAATACATTGCCGTCAATAGGTTATTAATAGAGGTTCAGGGATGGAGTCTATTGATTCTTGACCTTTCAATCCACAAATAAGGCTACAAGATCTTCATTTGTAGTCAAAAGTCTCGGTATAAGCACCCTAGAAGGTAGCTGTGATAGAGGTTCTTGACAGCGCCATTGGGCATCACCAGGCACGCTTGTTCATAGCTAAAGTCGAATCATCTCTCCTTATCTCCTTCGGTATATCGAAAAGAACTTTCGTCACACACCTGATTTTACAAAGTCGCTCGCGCGAAGGGTCATGGCACCTGAGCGTGCTATAATAGCTGGACGCCCATCAAACAAGGGGTGAGTTTTCAAGTTCTTTGCACCGTACGCGTTTAAAGTAATTCATTGGCTAATACAGGGCGCAAACATCCGTTGTCGTTCCTATTACAACATGCGAAATAAGTAAATTTTAATTTTAATTTTAATAAAAAAAAATTAATTAATTAATTAATTAAAGAATACTAACTACTATAGTATTAAAAATGCTACTTAATTTGATTCGGTTAGCAAAAGTTAATCGGGGCTCAGCCGGGATTCGAACCCGGGGCCTCCTGCATTCCCACGTGTAGATGGAAGGGTTTCTACGCCCGAAGCAGGAATCATACCTCTAGACCACTGAGCCACAGTTGTTAAGCTATCACGAATTGAGTAACTGATCATTTTCGGGCTTATTGCATCCTATTTATGCTATTACAATTTCTGTGGGCTCAGACATGGCACCGCCCCATTAGCATTTGGTTCAATTCAAGAGTAAAAAGCCACAGTGTGCACAACGTAGACGATACGATGCCGCAGCAATGAACATTTATTAAAAAACTAATTGCAACCAAATCTACTAAATAGGAATTTTCAGAAGGAAAACAAGACACTAGAACTCAACGCGATATGTCAAAACGAGCTATACAGTATGTCAAGTATGTTTATGCCCCAGTGCGACAATGAGCCTAAGGGCTAATTGCGGGTACATAGCGGGATATAATTTAACTATCGAGGCGGGTCAATTATTAAGTGTCACATACAAAACGGCAATCCACACCAATTAACCATTTTTACAGCAAATTCACACCTAAAAACAACGCTAATAGATATAATCAAGGCAAAGGGCTGATATACGGACTTATAAATACGTAAGTCACACTTAAAACAGCGATTAAAATAACACCGGAACCGGTGTTTTTAGGTGTAAATTAGCTGTTAAAGTGGTTATTTAGTGTAGAATGCATGTTTTGTATGTGACACTTAATAATTGACCCGCCTCGACTATGTTGCTATCCTCACTGTCGAGATATGTAAACGGTTATCATGCGCCTTTCTTCCTTTATGAAAGCCGGTAACGTTAGTTTTTTCGATTATCATGAAATGGATTAGTATGTAGGCTGTGCTGACCAAAAGATCTTACGTTAGTAGGACGGCCAATTGCGCCAAATTATTCCATTGAACGCAGCAGTAATGGATTCTACTGGCCCTAGCTGTCTTCGAAGTCGTTAAGCCTATCTATCTACGTGCCTTTGAATTAGCCTATAAGTGGACTTCAGAGAAAAGGAGGAAAGACAAACACCGCACGCACGAAAACGAAGCCACACCAAGCAGAGCTCCACTCCCGATTCAAAGGTTCGGTAAGTGAATGGGAAGGTGGTGCAAGCGAGGAGGCACGACTTTACGGACGATCGTAAAAGAGATCTCAAATTTAGACGCATGCGGATCAAAAGGACAAGAAGCATGAGAGAAGCGCAGGCAAACGAAGCACAGCCTGTCTCAGCGTGACCATATTATGCAAGAAAAAGGAGCCCGAAGATCGTGTGACGACTGAACGACATCTCATACAATGCAAGACCAAAAGGAGGGAGGGGGGGTCATTGGCATGCGAGAGAGTAAAATGCAAAAGCGTTACGTGCTACGGATAGGCAGCGAACTAACAGACTCTGTTCTATATGATGGGATCGTGAGTATTCAGCCACCTAAGTATGCTGTGTGACGGAGCACCGCCGCGCCGACACATAAGCAAGTCTAACGCATCACCGGCTTTTGCTTTGACGTTAAAAAGGTGTGTAACCAGATCTCAGAGCACTCAGTCACTTGAAATTGAACAGAAATTACGCCAACTATCTAGCCTGAGAAATTAAATATGGACATGTGAATATGCACGATAATAATTCGACAATTTTCAAACGATACTTTGGCCGAGACGGTGGTCCTCTTAGAAATGTCACCGTTTTCGTTTTTGATATTTATGGTCCTTGTTCTAATGGGATGCAGAATTAGACGGAGAGAGCTTGATGAATGAATACCGCAAAAGTAACCACTGCAAACGCTGACTTTCTATAGCTCATCTCCACCAAATTGTATACAGGATGGGTGGCGAAGCAGCTATATTCAACACTGCTATCCGTACTTCACCCCTGAGCATAGGCAAAAAAGGGATCAGAACAAGAGCGCCCCTAAATAAGTAATTGAGCTTGATGAATTCTAGCCGTGTTTCCTTTTCAGATTGTTGTTTACAATGCTGCCCTTGTCATGATCTTCCTCAATGCCAATAATCATGTAGTTATTATGTACATACATACATACTTGCACAGGCTGCTGCTCAAAGTAAAATTATATGGTTATCGATTAAAATCAAGCTTCGGCCGATATAGTTCTAAGTCTAGGGCTGCGAGGAAACATCCCTTTCCAAACAATAGCCTTGTATGCCTCTACTCTTCTGTCAAAGCTTATGCGGGTGTAAAATAAAATAAAATAAAACTCAATAAGATCAGCCTTCTCTGTCGTTATTCGTATCGAGTTGAAAGAATAGACATAGCAAAGTGTCTCAGCTTTGACTAGAGCCTCGGCTGTACACTGGTTCAAACTATAGCCCAAACAGACTCTAATACCAGTCCGATGTCTCGCAGCGGCCCTTGCCATCGCGGCCCACTACCCCAGCCGGGGCGCTATGGTTCAGTCAGAGACATGAGCAACCTGTAAATATAACGGGCTGTGCTTCGCTTTCGTAGTTCGCAGGGCCTATCTGCAATGCAGATGAGTTGCAACAGACCTAGCAACCGGATGATTGCATGATCAGTTTCGGAATTATCTCGATCGTAGTCTTAGTCTTCATTAGCCAGTCCCTATAGTAAGGGAGCAGTAGGGTTGCAAACCAGTCGGCTACTTTCCAATCCAACCAAGTTTTCACAATCATGACCAAAACCAGTGATTAATTTGGTACTTTTGGTTATTTTCCAGCCATGCAGCCACCACTACCTTTCAGCTTATTCAGGTACAAAATAGGATAAACTGGACTTGAATTACATCTATGGGCATAGTTTTACAGCTAGGGCACGCTGTGACAGGGGGGCGTTACAAATGGATGGTCAGTGCGGTTAAAACAAAGCCTAACATAAGCCACTTTCAGTTGTTTGTGTGGGTAATACAGACCGCGTAGTTGCAGAATCTTCCGAGGGCATCTGCAGGTATGCGACCAGATCTCTTAGATGGAACATTCCACGACTTGGAAAGTCATTAACATCGTGCCCAATCATCCATCTACGACGGCAAGAATAATGCAGAGATATTTTGAAGAAAAAAGAAAGAAAAAAAGAAGCAGATCGGTTACCGCTAGAACTCGCCTGCAGGGACGAATCGGTCGCGTACCATGATACGGGACCCCCGAAGATCCGAGGATTCTCTCAAATCCCTGGTAGTGCTGAGCAAATCAAGTGAAACCCCAATTTATCACGAGGATGAATAATCAGATGTATCATTTCTCAACACCAAACCGTGGCGGGCCGAGCTGCACATGCGAGCCACGCAGATGGTGCAGCATATAGGTCATAATCCATCGCATCGGGTCCCAATCTCGCCATTCTAGTGTTGATATAGTAGAAGCAGATGTGATGTAGAGTTGGTGTTCAGTTTTTTTTTTGTTTTGGAAGGAGTATCTGCAGCGTTGGATGATTCAGTAAGACAGCTAGAGAGTCTACGGCCATAGCTGTATTCTGTAGACTTTGATCCTCTACTGAGGAGTCTAGAATACCCAGTACGATGGCGTTCTTGGCGTTGGTCTTTACAGCAGGGGCACTGAGACGTCTAAGTATAGTGAAAACAATGTGACCTCAGTAAGCGTTATCGAGGGACTATTCCGGCCGACCCAAAAGATACAGAATAGTCTCAAGCATCGGGCCCTGAAGCATGAAAGGGCCGGAATATAGGCCTATTCTTGCCTATCTAGCCCGCCTCTACGCTGGGCGCAAGATACGAGAGACAAAACAAGTCAAAATAATGAGACCAGACAACGAGCAGAATAGGGTTGTACTGAACCAAACCGTCTGCCGGTTACGGTGCAGGCTGCGTGATCGCCGGTTCAGCCAACCCCACGGACTAGCCCCGCACGCCGTGCAGATCTTGCTTGCTGGTAATCTCCATCCCAAGATCACCCTGGTGTTACGGAAGGTTTCTGTGTGTAGAACCTGGGCTCGCTTATATTACCACGGAGGTTTATTATGACCTTGATTCACAAGCTAATAGTAAGGTAATTTACTTCGTGAAAAATTACTTGCAGGAACAAACTATGAGACCAGTTAGGGCTTATTGCTGGTAGAAAAAGAAAGCACTCATGCTTGCATGATATCTACTTTTGCAGTAGAATTTCTTGGCTTCTGAAGTGGGGAGATCGGCACTGTCCGCAGGTAATTTAGCAAAACATGCACAAGTAATTATGTGCAGCTTTGGCAACGAGTTGTAGCATGAAGTTGGCAACTTAAGAGCACCGTTCCATGGAAACATCGTGTTCGGTTCAGGGCTCTGTACTGGAGTCATGTTGTGGGTAAGGTAGGCAGGTACTGTAGTGAGAGGTGTGGTGGTGATACCTTCAGATTCTGCCCATTCGCTTATAGGTACCTTAGGGTACCTGCTTGCCAATCCGTAAATGTGCGATTTGGGTACATTATGCAAATCAGGTGCTCGGATCTAACATTGCACATTGGAACCACATGCAGACACCACCTGCATCCTGCCCGACCTAACCTTCTTGCCGAATTCCAGGTACTCTGGACCTTCGCAACAGCGCTTTCTCTCTCGTTGCATCATGTCACCAGTACTTAAGGCACATGTAGGCGGCCCCCGCATCGCGTTCTCTTCAGACCACCGTCTCTATCGTTGACGTGATAAAAGCAGAACTATTATACTTCCGGCAACTACAGGAGGTACAATATCCACAAGCCTCCTGTCAGTTTGGACATCACTTGTACAATCAATATCTTCCTCATACCGACTTCCTACCTCAGGTACCTTGGCAGTGCCTTAGGTCCATCCCACGCACACATACGTATTAGTGAATGTAAGTACCCCCCATCTTAGCTTGCCCTTGCCCCTTTGCCCCTCACCTCAGCCGTCGATAAAGACGCTAAACATCCCACTTACAACTCTTCATCCCCAACTTAATCCCAATCTTCAATATCCCCTTCCGATTTTTCTCTCGCCACCGTGAATCACACAAGGAAGCCCTCGTCACCTCAATCCTTCACCATGGGTGTCACCAAGACTATTATTCAAGAAGGCTCCGGTGCCCAGCCCAAGGTCGGCCAGACTGTCACCATCGAGTACACCGGCTGGCTCAAGGATAACACCAAGCCTGACAACAAGGGA